AGGTAGGGGATGCTTTGCAGAGACAAGGATCCACTTTCATGTGTGTTACGTATGTAAACTATATACATAAGAAACACGTCACCTAAAATCAATGGATGCAATTACAATATTTATATTCCCACCTTGAGATATCCCAGGAGTCTGATTATTTTTTTTAGTGTAATTAAATGTGACCAGGCACATTCAGAAGTCAATGTATTTCTGATATTCCAATCTCAATATTAAAAAAACAGAAGCAGCAGAAATCTTACTGCATCTGAAAACCTCGACCAAGTAGTTATGCATAACACATACTTAAAGAAACTTGTGTTTTGGTGTGAGTACTGACTTGTTCAATTTTTCAATATTTGTTATTTTTTAAGAAATATTTTCAAGTTGAATATTCCTGAAGGAGATGGTTGTTAGAGAAGAGTGCTGGGCAAGGAGGAGGGTTAAATGGTGAGAGCGAGCCCAGGGTACAAATCTGTGCAGATAACTGAACTGAGAGGCAATCTTGAAATAATATTTTTCACTTCTACAACGCCTTTAATTTGAAAACCAAAAAGCTAGCTACAAAGACCATGCCCTTGCTGGGCTGCAGTTGCTTCCATTGAATCCTCTGAGAGGCTTCTCAGCTTCTCTGTCTGTCCTCAGAGCTGGTCTGTCAGTCCCACTCTGGCACCTGCCCAGCAGAAGTCCTGTGCAAATCAGTGCACTGTTACCAAAGAGTAGATTGGAAAAAGAAACATTGTATACGCGTGACCTTCACACACACCAAACCAGGGCAGTCCAGAATTATGGTTGCTCTTTATATTAAAAAAAAGCACACAAATACGAAGAAACCCACCAAACTTGGGACAGAAGTGGTTCTGCATGATACACAACTGAAGAACTAGACAGAAACATGAACTACTTTGAGAACTTCTTTTTTTTGGAGAGGCTTCTCTTGATTTGTGATAAATCTCACTGCAGAAGGAATTTAAATCAGTCCCTAATCTTACTATAGTAAGATTTTCTTCTTTTCTTTTCTTCCGCTTGGTGATGTTTCCTTTCTGAAGACTGTATGTAGCAGGATGCACAAAAAAAAGCATTTACTTCTCTGGCCTTTTGAGGTGAATTATATTTAAATCCAGTTCATCCAATATCTGGAGGATTGTGAGCTTGTGTGCTGCTTCCCTTTAACCAACTCTTTGCTGTTCTGACTTCATGATTCACCATCACTGCGTATACATGGAAAAGAAAAAAACCACACCAGTGTCATGCTGTTGGGTCAGTTGTCTCAGCAGGCAATAATATGCAAGAGTATTTCTGGAGTTCATGAGAAGGTGTTATGAGAAAACATGTGTCAGCCATGCAATGCATGAAATGACCCCATCCGTGGTGCTAGATGCTGGCAGCAAGGGCTGGGCTGATTTCCCTGCTGGTTAGTGGCTACCCAGTGCACCCTGTCTCTGACTCCCAAGCGAGGACTGAGCAATCAAATTGCCCTTTTGCCACAGGGGAGGATAATTTTTTACAGACGGAACTTTTTGTATTAAATCTGGCCTCATAACAGGTGAATTTTCCCTGCCTTGCTGGTTTCTGCCTAGGTAGCTTGCTCCCCAGCACTTTATGAATAATGTTTGGTTCATGCCAACATTAAAAATGTGACAGTTTTTTATCGGCTGGTTAGATTTCAGTCAGCATTAACAGCAGGGGTTTAAACCACCTCTGAAGTTAAAAGGGCCACTCATAATCTTAATATTTTGCATGTTTTTAAGTACCTTGCCAAACTGAAGCACAGCCTGGGAGAGGAGTGTTTCTTTCCGTACTGACTTATTCTCCACCCAGAACATGTCTCCATAAGAAAGTCACCCTTTTTCGGACAGAAAGACTAGGAGCATGCCCAGCAGCACCCAAAGAAAACCAGACCCCCTCAGGAGGTGTGATAAAGCAGAGGGGGGAGTTGCTCCATCACACTTGCCAGCCAACAAAGCCCCATGCTGTAAAGGGGTCAGGCTGCGCTCCTGTTTTGCTGGGGGAGTAAAGGTCCCCAGAGAAGAGATTGGTCTCACACCCGCTTTGTGTCATGAGAGCATCAGCCCTCACCTGTCTGCTCCCTCCTGCATGCACGGGATGGGAACCCCACCACCGGTAATGCTGGGGAGACTTTGTGGTTCTCTGCTCAAGCACAATGAGGATTTTAGCACGAGCTTTCAAAGGCAAGATATATTATTTAAAATATACATATGTGTATGTACTTTTTTAATACATATTTTTAACTTGGCTTATGTGCAAGGCAGATGACCTCCACCTACAAAGGAGCCCGGGCTGTCATATCTTGCCTCTTGTGCATAAATCTGCAGCCTTGATGCTCATGAGTACAAGGTTTTGCCATAATAATAGCAGCTTGTTTCGTTTCGCTTCGTAGTCTTTCACTTTTCTTGCTCAAAAGAGCTGCTGAAAACAAGTATTTATCTAAACGTAGTTCTCTCTGACATTATTCAGCTAAGAGTTTGGTCAGGAAAGCAGCAGATCTTGGTCTGATAAGGTTCAACTGCAGAAGTAAACAGGAATCAATTTTTTTTGTTTACCAGGAAATCCCACCACTTTAGATAACTTTTCACTTTAAACTTTGAAACATGTTTCATTTCAATGTAAAATGAAATTTGAAAAAGCAGTTTTGAGTGAAGGGAAACACTTAACTTAGAAATATTTCCCTACCACAGGGTTCTGTTCTTTAAACCTTTTTAAAATTTTATATTAAAAAGTCATTTACTCTGAAAAGTAGTTTTGGAACAACTTTCATTCTGAAAATGTCAAAATGTGATTATTGAAACATTTAGTCTCAGGTGTTTTCAAAATTATAACTCATCAAAATCAATTCACAGTTCAAAACATTTGGGTCTTGGTGAACTCCCCCCACCATCTTTATGAAGCAGGAAAACAACACTCAGCCAGCTGTGCTCAGTGAGGCCTTGAGATGTTTCCCATTCTGAAATATCATCAATAAAAATCTAAAAGAGGAATTACCATAATTTGAGAAGAAAGCAGTCTTTCAGAATCTGAAATCGAACCTAATTATCTTGCACTTTGTATTCAACGAATACCCTTTGTCTGAGCAGCTCTGAATGTTTTAGAGATAAATCTCCTCTTTTTATTTGCACTTGTTTGCCTTCCAACAATTTAGAGGCAAAAATTTCTCTACAGTCTGATCTTAAGATACTAGTCATAAGAAAATATGCTTAAATAATGTGTGTACCTTCACTCTGACTGAAGCATACTTATCTGAACAGGGCTGCTTTTTTGCGTCGAGGCTTAAGCCTCACTATAGTGCTTTGAAGTGACAATATCTCTATTTTACAGGTGGGGAACTTGAGGTAGGGTGTAGCCCAAAGATACCTTTTGCCAGCTGGAAGCAAAAACTCCACCTTCTGATGGGGTTAGTGCAAATCCAGTGCAAAAGCACTTTAGCAAGGAGGGTATTTAAAGTGTCAGTTCATGCTGGTAGGTCGTGATGATTTTTATTTTTTTTCTGAAAATGAACTGTTAACATTTTGGAAAGTAAAGTTAACACTCAGGGTGCGGTTGTGCCTAAAAAGCCTTTTATAGCATGACTAACTTCTGCTGGTGTTAGCATATGGCTCAAGCACACTTTGTCCTATATGCGCTCCCATAGCCAGTGGTATGCTCAGCAAATCTGTTTTTAGAGAACCAGTCCACAGCTGCCTCTCCTTAACAATTTTCCCCCTCTGACTTATCGTTTAGAGGCTGGAAGGGGAGACCCAGATGCCTAGCAAATCCAGCATCTTTTCCAGCTGCTCAGGGTAAAATTACTGTGCTTGCTTGCATCTGAAACCTAGTCTCTCTAGTCTAAGTCTCTCTTTTTTTTTTTTTTTTTTTTTTAAATCCACAACACAACAACAATTTCTCTTGCAATAGGGGTAAGCAGAAACCTTTTAAATACAGATAGCTACAGTGGAGCAGCCCCATCTAAAAGCTACCTTGAAACTGCAGCTTTGGAGCAACTGAGTGGCAAACTCTCCAGCAGTGATGATTTAACATCACTGTTGTTTCACTCCTGAGCAAGGGAACTCAGAAAAGTGGGGGACGGGGATATTATGATGGTGTGCAGTGGGAGGTGGAGCTCTGTCAGAGAGGCATGTTGAGCTGAGTTGTCTGGTGCCACGCAAAGGGGAAGACGTAGGTCCTCCTCCTGCCTACCACCCCTCCCTGCTCCCAGCCTTGCTTGCTTGTGTCCACTGCTTCCACTGCACCGGGGGTTTTCTTGGCACACAGGATGGTTTAATTGCTTGTTATCATAACCTGGCGCAGAGGAGCTGCTTTGCCCGCTCCCCAAAATGCAGTTGCAACACAAGCGTGCAGAGAAGGGCGATGCACAGCCCCTTGCTTCGAGCGGGAACTGGAATTTTTAATTAGGGAAAATGTGAATTTGAGAGGGGTTTTAGGGGTTGTGGCCAAAATCCTGAGGAAACCAGCTAGAAAGTTTTTAAGTTTACCAGCTGTTTGTTGCGGTTCGTCTGGGATCTCTGCTTGGAAGGGAAAGATCCTTGGGGTTTCTCTTGGGGTCAGACCTGTCTGGAAGGTCACAGCTCCCGCCAACGCATCTGGCAGTGGCTCTCAGGGACCTATAGGTACCTGGTGGCAGAGGGGAGCTGGGTGTCTGCGCCGGTGAGGAGTGCCAAGGAAGCTATGCTGAATGCTTGTATTAACACCTTGGGAAACTGTGATTAAAGTCTGATCAGCAAATGAAACTCCATCTGTGCCATCTGGTTGTCTGTCTTGCACAGGTTTACAACTGCAGGATTATTTAGCGGTGCAATTTACAGGCAGGGACCGGTTTAGAAATAAGAGCGTCAAACCTCTTGTTTAAGTTGAAATCAAAGTCTCTCTCTATACAAAAACTTTGAAACTTAAATAGACCAAAGAATCACTCTATCTATAATTACAAATAAAAAAATTAGATTATTTTGGAATGACATTGCCCAGATTTCTTCAAATAATATAATGAATTAAAATACCTTGGGTTGGCAATTGATTCTTTTTCTTCTTCTCTTACAGTAGGCAAACATTCACAGTCAGCTGAAAAAGGGTAAGAAAGACGACTATAGTTACTCTTGGCAGTTCTTCTACATCTATTCCAAAGTTGCATCAACTTTTATCATGCAGTCTTTCTAGAATGTAAAACTGCAGATGCTCTTTTGCATTCTTTTATCTGTAAAATCTGCGTGATCTCCACAGCATAAATATTATGTGGTTTTAAATCTTCCAACACCAAATAGGTGTTGCCGTTATTTCTTTATATATATTTCAGTTGTTTATGTACCCCTATACAAATGAACTACTTTTCAGGACTGTTTCTTGTAAATGCCCACAGGGAGGACTATTTGTTAATCTTCCATTGCTTATAGTGGCACCTATGCTTTACAGTCCAGCTGGGAATTTGGGGCTGGGGTTTACAGAACACTAACAAACGAAAAAAAACCCAACCCCATATGTAAACTATTTGCTTACTTCTGTCCACACAATTAAAAAAAATATTTTACAGCACTCTTTCAACCAGTGTACTATACATACTGTCTCTATTTCACTACTGCTGCTTAGCACATGTTTTCTGCTAGAGCTTACGGACCATGAAGGTCAAAACCCCATCATGTGGAGCACTGTGCTAACACAAAGAAATGCTCCAAAGAGTTTTATGTCCTGAAAAACAAAGCATCCCTAGGAGGGCAGGCAAATGAGCCATTTGGACATAAGGCGAGGGACCAGGAATGAAAAAATATCAGGGTTTCAGCATTTCATAGTCAGTGAAAAGCTGTTAGCAGTTCAAAATCAGGCCTCAGCTAATTCATGTCTTACCAAAAACCTGCATTTTTTGAGGATGGTCTTGAAGGAGGATGCAGGGCTCTTAGAGATTTTGACTGGGAGATTTCAGTTGGGAGGAAAATGGGGGGGGAAATACAAGACACTTAGAAGTAGTTAAGAAGGAGCTGAAGATGCTGATGGTGGTAGTTACTGCAGGTACTGATTGCTCTGTGGGCTGATTGATAGACTTGTAAGAGATGATGTAGATGGTGAATGGTGCTGACAGCAAAGAGCAGCCTGTGTTTCATGTGGTAGAGATGGGAGGGGAGGGATGTATTCATAGGATCCTGGCAGCAATTTTAAGTAAACGGTGGTCTGCACTATGGGTAAATGCACATTTCTTCTCCAATAGCCCAACGTGGAGCACAGAACTGTAGAAACTCTGAGGACTCAAAAGAGACTAGATGCTTCAGAGAAACTAGTATTTTGCATTAAAAATGTGTATTTAAAAATATAAATACTGTTCACAGCTATACATGTATTTAATAAAAGTGTCTACTAGAAACTCAAAACATTTATGATATTCCATCATATGTTAAAAATAAGCTCCCACACAAACTAAAATACTCCTCTGAACAATTCTACCCCTGACATTTGTGCTGCTATTTTAGTAGCTGGGAGTCAAGAATACAACTCAAGATGTTGGGGAAAAGCAGTGACACACATACAAACTGCCTTACATTCATTTTTTTTTTTTATGCGTGGTATCTACGTCAGCGAGAAAGAGAGGGATGATGGAGTAGAGGGGTTACCGTGTACCGTTTTTGTTCATGCTGTTCATCCATTTATCAAGCTCTTCCATTTCTATCTCCATAACAGAGGGTGTGTCTTCTTCAAAAATAGGACTTGAGAAGAGGGAGGAAAAAAAAATGGCATTACACAAAACGCCTAATTCAAACAACTTGCAATGTAGTAATTTTGTATAAGTCTTTTGTAATTCCAGACACGTATATGAACTCTGAAAAGGCATCTTAGCCAAGTAATCTGAGGAGATGTCAGCCCAATGGGTGTGAGGGAAACGGCTGCAAACTGATGTGAAGAAGTGGCAGTGAGATGCCCGTCCTGGGCAGAGGTGGGACTGGGTGGGACATTGCAGGCAGAGGGACTCAGGTGGTGCAGGTCTGGGATATGCCAGAGCACAGGACCACTGCAGCTATTCGAGAACTCTCCCTACTCTAAATAGAAAACTGGAAAATGAAATAGTTTGTCTCTGCCCTGCTGGAACACACGGCAAAAGTCCTGTTGCTCCAGTGATAAAAGCAGAGGGCCTAAAGTTTCATCCTAGCTGTGACTGACATTGGCAGCAACTTCAGAAGGAAAGGTCATGAGTAGAGTAACTCTGCATTTATTTAAATGCCTCTATTTAGCTTCCCTTTGCTGATCATTCCTGGAGTCACAGGGTAGAAAAAATATTTTTAGCAAAACTTCCTTTTTTTTCCCCATGAAGCCAATTTCATAACTTCCAGCATTGATTAGCAAGATGGAGCTCAATAAAAGATAACGATAAAAATTATGACTCTGATGAGAGCTACGCAGCTTTTGGCTTGTTTTCCCAGCCAGTGAGGCATTGCTTCCACGGTAGCTGGGAGAGCCTTTCTGCCTCACCTCAGAGTCAGAAGACAAACTTGAAAAACAGGGGAGCAAGACACAGAGCTTGTTCTGAATAGTAAAAGCCTGTGATGAGCCTGGGAACTGATCCTCTTTGCTCATGGGGCACACTGTACATCCTGTGCTGCCTCGTGGCTGGGGGGGCGGGGGGGGGCCGCAGTAGGCGTAGGGGTGGCTGCGGGTGGTGGGTGCCTGTGGGGCGGCACTCGCCTCAGCCACCATAACTCCCGTTCTCCTACTCTAGTCTTACATCTTCAGCTAGATACTGAAGTCACACTTTAGCCACCTCTAGAGATAGTGAACTGGAGCAATTGATAGCAAAAGGCAATGGTGTTTAGTGTACGGTTAAGCTAAAACAGGTGGTGAAGGAGTCAAAAATCATAATATGCTGTTAGAGTAAAAGAATAAAAAAAAAAAAAAAAAAAAAGTGATGTTCATAAACTTTACCTTTTCACATTTTCACTTCCCAGCTCATCTGGAAAAGAAAAAAGTTGGTGTTCATAGTTCTGCTCTTTGAATATACAGGGTCCAGACTGCAAGCAAGCCTTGAACAGGGTCACGTAAAACACGTTGCATTTTCAAAAGGCATAAGAGTTAATGTGTAGGCAAAAGACAAAACATTTCATCCTGTTTGTCATTTTTAGAGGAACTCGCTATTTTTAATCTTGAACACGCTAAGAGCAGCGCATTATTAGCTCAGCCGTGCTGGGAGCAAAGCGAGTGTTAGCGCGGCGGTGGGCAGGACACGGCAGATGCACGCTTCCCTGAGCAAAACAGATGTCATGAGAGAAATGGGATCCTGAAAAGGAACCACTGCTGCAAAAAAAATTGTTTACTGGAAGCGTCGGGACATTTTGCTGCAGACTACACGCAGGCAATCCGGCTCTGCCTGGAGACTCTGTGAGCCGCTCATGGAGAGAAGAAGGGGGGGATGGACTTGCATGGCAGATTAAATCTCCGTTAGGCAAATGAAGCTGAACTAGCCAGATGTCAAAAGCTAGTTATGACCCCAAGAAAAAGTAAAGATGGGAAAAAAAAAATAGTGTAGCAGCCATTATTCAGATAAATATCTTCCCCTCAAAGAATCAAGTGACTGAAAAGCCTCAGCCCTCAAAAAAGAATGAAGAACTACATATAAGATTCATATTGTATACTGTCTTAAATCAGCTTATTTTTAATTCAGTGTCGCTGGTGGGTGCTGACACTTGTTCCAGCACATTCCCTGACTGCAGAGCCACCCCAGGGACACAGAATTGTCTGCCCCCACCTTAAGGATGCCCAAAATCCCAGCTCCAAGCAATAGGCACAGGGCAAGAGATCCCAGGGTTGTGCCACTGCAAAGCACCACGTTTCCTGTCCCTCCGCATGGTGTGTCTGCATTTCAAGTCCTCCAGAAACAGGCAGGCAACAAGGTGCCTGGTTGTGAATTCAGAGTTTGCTACGAGGGTGACCTAGCGATAAGGCAGGTGCAGCCTAAAAATGCCTTGGAAAATGGACTTTAAATCTATGTTGAACGTATGTCACTGTCTGCAGGCTGAGGAGCTTACAGCTGCGCTCTTGTTCTGTAGGGACACCGATACGACCATTTCAGGATTTCACTTACCAACTGTGTGGTTCTAATCTGACACCTCAGTTTGTTTTCTGTGGCTTGACGCTCCAAGTTACCTATTTCCTTGCTAATAGGTCAAGGTACCTTCCTGAAGCACTGCTCTCCCTATCGCAGCACCCAGGCAGTCTGACCACGGGATTCCTAGCTCATTTACCGCGGTATCTTCATAGCTGCCACCACCCTACAGGATCCCCTAAAAGCATTCTTTATCATGGTTTTGCTTGTTCTTATTTGATTGAGGGTCCAAGCAGCTTTACCTTGTGGGCGGTATAGGCAATAGGAGCATTAAATTCACCTTGCATGAAGTTATTACGCCTAAAGACAGAATAAGCGTTTGCAGCCACACGGTTACATCCATGCGCCATTCCCGGCACTGCCAGGAGCTGGAGCTCAGTGCAGCGGCTCCCGTGGGAGTCCAATGTGGGCAGGAAGTGTCAAGAAGCCGAATTAGCTCCCACCCAAGGAGAGCTGCATGCCCAGATACCATGGGCCGGGGATGGATCCCTTTCCTAGCTGTCAAACGTGCAACTACAACCAGAGAAGTGCATCCTAAATGTGGCATCCCAGGCCTCCAAATAACGTTTTGTTAGTGACGAGCACATCCTAAAAATATCCTTCTGATGTGCAAGAGGACAAATTTACCTTGCTTAGACTTTTTCCTTTTATGATGTATTACAAAAAATGCGATGAGCAAAATCAGCAGGACCAGCAGCACGACGGGGACAACGTATATCAAGATAGACTGTTCTTCTGCTTCTAGGCTGTCCTGATCGTTCATGGCATTCAATTCAGTACTTGGAGTACTTTTTGTTTCAAAGGTGCTTTCAGTAGTGCTTGCAGTGACAAGTACTGGCTCGTGGTCATCTGCAGTCGAAGAATGTGTAGCAGGAGGAGGCGTTACTGTAACAGTGGATAACATCGGTGATCCATCTCCTGAACCATCATTTTCAGGGCCTGCCAAATATATGAGGACAAATTAACATTTTATTGGGTTTACTAGTATTATCAGTGAGTCAAAGCATACAGCTTTAATATTAACTTTTAATTTGACGTCTTAAAAAAAATCAGCAGATGCCCCATACACACAGATTTGAAATCTTGGGCATCAGATGCAAAATTAGATCACAAATTCATCACAAAATCTTACCAGTCAGACCTGACCACGTTCTTCGACTGGCTTTTACTGGGACATGTCAGCATGTGTGCTCTGTCTGCACACAGCTGCCTTGCACAAACAGATTTTTTTATCCTGCAAGTTGGCAACTGGTCTCACTCTCACATGAAAGTCTTCTGCCTCTTGGTAAACCACACCATCCTGCTTTGCTCCTCAGCCTTGGCGCGTACGGCCACAACCTCTTGCCTCCCTCCCCTTACCCAAGGAGTTAGCAATCCCTTCGGGGACACCATTAGCCCTGGTTCACCAATTCCTCCGGCTCACTCATCTCCCTCTTTCTGTGCCTTTCTCAAATGTGTTAAATTTGTTTCACTGTGAAAAACAGAACTGGTGGAAGGAAGCGTGAAGCCTGCAGAAGCTGCTGACTTTCACTTCTGCGTGGACTAGAAGAGGTACTAACAACACAGGGGCTTTACTGGATGCAAATGCACTTACATGCTCCTCCGTCTGATCCTGCGGGCTCGGTAAAGGAGCCTACGGTGAAGAGTCACTGCTGGCTATTCCTCACAAACGTTAAGACTGGGGGGTTTGAAGCTTGATTTGGGTTTTCATTTCATTTAGCATATATGTTGCAAGAAAAGTGGCTGAAATTGGCTGTATTGGTAATAGTGAAACAAGCTTTTGTTTGAGGCTAATTAAGAGTCTGTGTTGACTGCTGCAGAGTTTAAAGCTTAACAGAAGTACAGCAAATTCTGAGCTGATACTGTATTCCATACCCGTGCAAAAAATCCTGTCGTAGCCAAAGGTGCGGGAATCAGTCCCTAGACAAATTACACTGACATGTTTCAGAATACAAAACCTTAAATAATTTCCTTAGCATGAAATTAAACGATGATTTTTTGTGTTCTCTGCCCTTTCAGGTACAATGGCGCAGCTCTCATTTTATGCAGTAAAGCAGCACAGGATTTCATGACTTCAACAATGACATGTTTCTCCTCGTTCTTGTAAAGTGCTGGGCAGCCATAGTTTCCACTAGAGTTAGCAAGAGCTTAAGGTTTTCAGCACCTCAGCGCTGGCATTTTGAATCTCACAGGACTGGAACCAGAAGTACTTAGCATTTTAAATGCTTTTGTAAACACATTAATCTTCATAATGGCCCTGAGAGATGAGCAGTTATCATCCCATTTTACAAATGAGAAATCAGAAGGACAGGGATGCTGTCCTTCCCAGGGACGCCAAGTGAGAGAGGAAAACTGGGATTAGAGCGCTATCTCTTGCTTAATCCACTCTGCAGCATCTCCTCTCCTGTCAGATTTGTCTCGAAGAGGAGATGAGTATCTCGTGAGACTGTATTCCAGGAAACCTAATTTCAAATGAATAAAATTATTTGAGTGTGACAGCAGTGATTTATCTAGATTTTTATGCCGCACTTATCACTCAGGCACCTGATTGTTTCATCCTTTCCTAAAAACTAGTACAGGATTTTAATACTTAATAAATAATAGCTGATACTCGAATATAGTATTTAATACTGCAAAGCACACCAGACTCTTTCACCACAACATGACAATGAAAATGTTAGCTCTTCAGTGGCAAAGCATTTCATATCCATAGTCTCCCTGTTGCTTTCTTCTGTATTTAGTATTTCAGTCAAGAGCAAAACATGATCTCTGCCTCCCCTGCAGGTAATGACCCCTTACGCATGTGCTCCTCCACTCCTCCCCGTGATCTGTTGGCTGTCCTTAATCCTGTCGCAGAGGACGGGAGGGAGAGCTCCTCTCCCTTATTTGTTTGGCCACTTGACTTTTCTTTCCTGGCGTAGTTTATAGTCCCCAGTGCCTGCTGCCGCTCCATTTCAATTGCCACGAGAGGTATCGCAAGAGACGTCTGCACTGCAGACCGCGGAGTGATGGACCGTGCCGCTGGACCACCACAGCCTCACCAAACCACGTCAATGACCTTGCTTCATTTTCTTCCTCTAGCCATCGCCCTTGAAACCCGTCATCTGCCACATTTGATATATTGACAAGGACAAGCCCATTGCTTAAAACAGTACAAATGGGAAAGGATGTGGGGTAAATACCTTGTTTCTCATTTGCTCTTAGAGCTAAAATGGATTTTTCAAATGTCTAAAGCATGGTGTGACTTTAAAGCAAAAGCAGTCACACCTCATTAACTGCAGGGCTAAACTTTCAGCTGCAGTGTATGCGGTGCTTGATTGCCAAGAGAGACACTTCCAGTGTCTCTGGTACTTTTTATTTGCCTGGTTTTGAGCTATGAAGGAGATTTCAAATAATTTGTCTCTGTGTGAAATAGAATTACCTTTTCTAGTCTCTGGGCAAAGAAAATGGCAAATCACAGGGAGTGACCTTGCTGCCACATATTTTTGTTCACTTTGCATAATTCCAGGGACAAAACAGCATCTCTTCTGCGAACACCATTTCCTCTTACAGAGATCTTTTCTCCGAGTGAATTAAATACGTCTTTCAGCAGAAGGACAGCCAATTGCACAATGTTCTTTGCAAGGATATTGCTCTTATTTCCTGTGTTTCACCTGCTGCCTCGACACATTTCCCTTCAGCAGTTCTGCCCATCACCTCTGAGGACCAGAGCTCAGACCGAAGGGATGTCCTGCTTGTCACACAGGGGCTGCTCTCACTCTCGGGCCACCACACATCACATTTTTTACACCATGAGAAAATCACAGTTTGCACCTCGGTGGGCCTGATGGCTTGCACCAAGGAAGGATTCCTACTGCCAGCCTGGCAAGGAGGGACAGACTTAGGCCTCCTGGTGCAGGCACAGTGCTTGCCGCAGCTGGCTGCCCAGGCCGTATGAGCCCCACGTGGTTGGTCCCAAGGTAGTTGTTGGTTTTCACAGTGTTTCAGCTTAAAGTGCTCAACATAGTGGGCAGGCTGTGTTGCAGCTGGCCCCGGTGGCTGTTTTGTAGCGTGAATGAAAGCTGGACATTGCAAAGTCTGGAGCAGGGCAGAAGAGCACCTCAAAGTCGGATATTTTGTGAGGAGATGCTATTCAAATATTTTCTCCGTGCCTGGAGGGAGCCAGATTTACAGTGGTCAGTCATATCATGAACTGTCTTGTCAGCTATGCTTGTGTTTCATCTTGCAGAGATCATAGAATCATAGAATAGTTTGGCTTTGAAGGGACCTTTAAAGGTCATCTAGTCCAACCTCCCCTGCAATGAGCAGGGACATCTTCAACTAGATCAGGTGGCTCAGAGCCCCGTCCAACCTGACCTTGAATGTTTCCAGGGATGGGGCATCTACCACCTCTCTGGGCAACCTGTGCCAGTGTTTCACCACCCTCATTGTAAAAAATTTATTCCTTATATTTAGTGTAAATCTTCCCTCTTTTAGTTTAAAGACATTGCCCCTTGTCCTATCGCAACAGACCCTGCTAAAAAGTTTGTCCCAATCTTCTTTCCTGTAGGCCCCCTTTAAGTACTGAAAGGTCACACTAAGGTCTCCCTGGAGCCTTCTCTTCTCCAGGCTGAACAACCCCAACTCTCTCAGCCCGTCTTCATAGGAGAGGTGCTCCAGCCCTCTGATCATCTTTGTGGCCCTCCTCTGGACCTGCTGCAACAAGTTCATGTCTTTCCTGTGCTGAGGGCCCCAGATCTGGACGCAGTACTCCAGGTGGGGTCTCTCCAGAGCAGAGCAGAGGGGCAGAATCACATCACTCGACCTGCTGGCCACACTTAAAGGTTAAAATAAAATAAAGAAGCATCCTCCCACCATGGTCATCTTGGGCAAAGGAAAGCACAGAGTGATCCGTGGAAATGAGCTGCACACATTTGCCAGGGTCAAAGCGAATCACTGCCACCAAGGCTGAGGTTCACTTCCTCTGAAAGGGAGCCTGATGATAACATAACATACATTCAGGGTGAAAAAACAAGGCCAACTGAACAAAACAAGGAACAAGGCACATTTGACCATGTAGGTACCTCCTTGACTTTGCAGAGCACCTGCCCTTCCTCTTGCTGAGTTCAGCCTTGTGCTTTTGGCCACGGTCTGACATCTGTACTTGGCCCTCTGCAGATCTCAGCCAAGGAGCAGGTACTCACAAAACAACTGCATCAGCTTCAGCTTTGTCTGGACTGCCTGGGACATGAGCGCTGGCGACTTCTCCCCATGTCAAGGGATGTGGTCCCACAGCTTCAGCCCAGCCCTTATTGCCACTTCCCACGCTTTCAAGGGCAGAAGGGAGAGGGGCTGGCATGCAGCTGCGTCCCACCTTTATGGGGAGCTGGGCACAGCTGGAACTGGAAGCTAAGAAGCTGGAGCTGGAAGCTAAGAAGTCCTCAGGTTCCCACCACTGATGTATTAGAGGATCTAGTCCTCAGGGGACCAAAATGCCCGAGCAAGCGCAAGTGGCTCAAAAAAGGTTCCATTACAGTTCTTACGAATTACAAAAAGGCTATGTCCCTCTATGCAGATACCATGGAGTAAGATATTATTCAGTCTGTTGTGCTTTAAAAATATGCTCAGATTACTGATGGACTTTGTGTGAGTTTTGGAGGTGCTCGCAAGGCTGCCTTTCAAGGGAGACAGGGGGAGTTGAATATACCGAGCAGCTTCATAGACTAGAGTCCAAACAACTGCATCTCAAACAAACAAACAAACAACATTTCTGTTGTTGCAGCATTTCTTCCTCTGAGGCTTGTGCTGTAGCACTTGGAGGTGGCGATGTGAGCTTCTTGATGAAGTAAGTGGGCAAACAGGTTTCTGATTTTGGTTGGATGTGAGGCAAAGGGAAATAGCCAGCAGACAGCACATTCGGTTCTGCTGTAAATCATCGGTCTCCCTCCTGCCTTCTCATCAGACTTGAGGATTGGGGTCTCTGAAGGGAATTTTTCAAATTACACTACAGTACCTACTTACAGAAGAAAAAGGGGCGGGATAGAGGAAAAGCAAGAGCTAAATCAATGGTGTAGTCAAGCTCATTAATTTGAAAGGGAATTTTCTATTTCTCCAAACCTTCCTATAAGCTATAAAAATGCAGCGAAAGGAAGGCTCACAAGCGGGTGACAAAACAAGAAAAGGCTATAAAGCTGTGCATACTGGAGTAAAGTTACCACATCCTATACGACTCTGCTCCATACACGCATTCCTTCTGGTGGTATAGTCACACGACTCCACGTGGTGCGTATGATCCTCTCTCCTATTGCTTGACTCACCCCTGTTCTGTTCCTCTCGCTGCGTTTCACGCTGCTGTAAGAAGGGCCGTTCCCTGCCGTGGCCGGGGCTGCCCCAGCTGCCTGTTAAAAAAAAGTCTGGCTAGAAGAGGAATCCATAAAGCCCGCAGGCTAGCTGTCGGGCGCACACGCTCTCCCGATGAGGCGGCACAAACATTTCAGGATGGCTAATCTGCAGACAAGATCCTATTAAAATGGGGTGCTTAGAAAGTGTTATCTAGGTATAACCTGAAAGAGGAAACAACTGAGTTCATTTCTAGATGATGGAAACTGCTTCCTCCTCACTGTACTTCCATCCAGCTGAAGTGCTGCCTTAACTGCCGGTGTTGCAAATTCAGTCACGCATCTTAGAGTCAAACTGTGAACCCACGGTCTCATTTCTTACCCCCAGTACTATTGGTTTTCCAGACGAATTCACACATTTAGTTGCATCTACTTAATCTCATGGCCTTCCAGTTCTGCCTCAGTGATACCCGTATGACCTCACTGTGATGTGAATCTCTCAGTGCTCCTTGCTCACAGGAGGACCATGAAATTAAAGATGCAAAAGCTCCGGAGGCTCTCTGGCTGTCATAAAATCTCTTGAGGGAACACAGCCTGGGGTCAGTGGCTGAAATTAAGTATACAATACTGCAGATGTAAAGGAGAGATTTTTCTGAAATGCCCCTGAAGCACTTGAATAGAACACAGTGGAAGTTTGTGTGTGTGGATAGACGGGATGAATAGGAGTAAATAGGTACAAGGAATTGATGTGTTCAGTAGAAAGGGTTTTTCATCTGCACTTTAGGGGTCTGCACTTTGGAAAGAGAGGATGTAACAAGTCTGTATTTCCTATATTGTTGCTTTGCTAGAAAATTGTAACAGGCAATCCTGATGCGTTCAAACCCATTCCCGAGTTCATTACTGTAGGGGGGAACAGGTCAAAAATATCACTCCCTTAGAGACCTTGGCTTTGTAGGGGACTTTACCTAAAAGGCACTTCTCTGCCAAAGAGAGAACTGCTGCCTCCGCTTACGGCACAAGCTGCTGAATATCTGGATCTTTGATAGCAGCATTTCTTTGAATGACAGCTCAAAACAGTAGCACAGAGACACAGCCAAATCAAAGCACTACCTGCAACCATCCCAATTCTTCAACTTAACAACTTTACATGCTTTACTGCTCCTCTCCCTCACGCATTTTCTTGCTCCCCACATCAGACCACTTACACTGCAATTTCCCATGTGTTTCACCAAGCACAGGGGGAGATCGCGTACCCTGGGAAATGCCCATAGGGTCAGAGCCTTTTCCTATAAGCTATAGTAAGGGCCTTAATACTTGTTCCTAGGGTCAGCACATACCTAGGTAGGTTTTTAGGGCTGCTGCGAGGCTGAGCAGTGACCACCACCACCCAGAGCAGGGAGGGCCACTGCTGGCCCTCAGCAGGTCACCAGCAGGGCTTGCTGCCTGGATAAAGCAAGGGGATGGGCATGGGGAAGGGGACTGGTGCAAACCCCATGTCCCCTCAGTGTGGAGCTGGGAGAGGGCCGGCACCCAGTGCTGAGACCTCAGGCACACTCTTAGAGTTTCCAGCTTAGAGTAATTGTAGCATAGCCGGGAGAAACCCGTCTGTTAATCACAATCCAAATGGCAAGGCCTGGGTTTTACAAGGCTCCAGCAAGGTATGGGAACAGAACTTATAAAGGCTTCAATCTGTCTATGCTGCAAGATTTAATCATACTCCTATCACCTATTTTGTAAGTGGTTTCTAGACAGTAGAGGTGAGACCTGGGAGATCCCCAAGAGCTTCTACTCCTCTTCTCCAGCAGACCACTTTAAAGGTGAGAACTGTGTCTGGGACTGTAGGAAAAAAGCTCCTTTAAAGGCCCTGTCCTGTTGATCTGTAAGCAAGCAGGGGTGACAGCAAAGGATGCCCCCGGCTGGCTGCCCTCAGCAGAGGAGTCCCAACCCACCAGTGCCTATGGGGTATATATGCCTCTACATAAACTCTTCTCCTTCCAGTTCAATTTCTCCCCTGAGGCCCAAGTTCACAACTTCCCCCCTCCCACCCTTGCAGTCAGAGTAAGCCGCAAGTACATTTTGGGGCTAGTTACACAAGCAAAAGCCACCTTTGTGTGGGGAGCAAGGGTCCCTGCTCTTCCCTGGGCAGGTGCTCTCCTCCCTTTCCCCCAGCAGCTGGGGGCTGGCTCAGGAGAGCCCGGGCTGAGAGCAGTCGGGGAGAGCTCTGGCAGGACTGACTCACTCCCATGGAGGAACCGTTCCAAAATCAACCAGAATTTAAACGTGGACCTACTGGTAGGAAGCCTCTAAAGGCAGTGGGGATTAGGTGGGGGCATCTAGTAGGTGACATCTGCCTGGTGCTTTGTGCAGCGCTGTAATGCCCACTGGAAAGAAGGGCAGGGGTGCCTAGCTGTGGGCTGGGGGGTCAGGGACTAAGGCGTCCCACTGCCCTGTGGAGATTGGTGATGAAATACTAGCGATCGCTACACTGCAAATGAGCTGAGGAAGCTGGAGCCTGATCACTGTGTTGCTCGCATCGCACCCCTCCGTTTCCCCGGGACCTCCGTTTTGCTCTATCCATAGCGGGATTTTTTCCTCTGATCACTTTGATTCCGAGCTACCTTCAACACTTACATCATATTTTCCTAACATGTCTGTAACACAGCAGGGCTGTAGTAATGCAGACAAGACCAAATTATTTTATACCTTGCTTAGCTCACTCTTACAGCCAAGCAAGACGCTTAACTGTGAGCGGCTCAGCAGCACGCTGGGAGCCCGCAACCCAGTTTTACACCCTGCTTATAGTGCTGTTTTTCAGCAAAAAAAATACCCATGTCAAACCACTTATTTCACCAATGCATTTTAAAACCTTAACAGAAGAACTCCAGTGATATCTGAGAGTGACCATCCTCTCTCCCTGATTTCTGGAGAGCTCCCGCTCGCTACCGCAGCACAGCGTCAGCAAACACTTCTCGTCCATACTGAGGCATTTCAGCATTGATTTGTTTGACACCAAAAGGCATATAAACACCACCTGGCAAGGTTTTCCTAAAAGAGCTGCCCGTCTTGCGCAGTCACTGGCTGCTGAAATGCCAGTGGAACAAACTACCTCCTGCGAACGGGGTGAGAGCCTCTGCAGCGACTCACCAGCACTTCAGCATTTTGTCACACGTGGCTTTTACGCTTGTGGTTCTTCCCTTTAGAAGGTCAGGACCTAAACCCACAGTGCCGACCACTTTGTTCTGCAGCCGAGAATTCAAAATATTTGTCTCCGGAACTGGCTGCTCTTTTGTTAAACCGGTTTCAGTGCACCGGGACTACGGAAATCAGCAGTCGGCTTTTGAATGGAAGCGGTGCTCCGTCTTTAACTTTACTATTAAATGCTGAAAGTATGGGTGTGGGGTTAAAAAAGTACAACAAATCATTAAAATTAGAGCCAAAATGCCTGGTGGGCCAGCACGGAAACTCCGGTTCCCTTCACACCAGCAATTTAGGAAATTAGGCAGGAATTGTAGGATTCAGTTGCTGCCGTTTGGGGTTAGGTCTAAGGAAAAAAAGTCAAAGCTTAGAGAAAGACAGGCAGCTGAAAACAAGAGAGGGTGAGCACAGCTAAAACAAGCGGGAGCAAGTCCCCGCAGATCTTCTCCTTGCGCTCAGCTGGGAGGGTGTGTTGCCCTCCGACTCGGTCCCATCGCTGCGGGTGCGAAACGCGGTCCCAACCTCGGAAGGCAAAAGAAAGGTGCTCTCTTACTCACCGTTGCCGGCAGATCCTCCAGCCAGCGACAAGGCAGAAAGCAGGGCGAGGAAGTTTTGCTTTCGCATGCTGCCTCGGCGGCGCTGCCACCTGAGGGGCGCTGGGGGCTGGCTCCTGCTGCACCCGAACATTGACGTTTCCTGTTTCCTGCCGGGGTGCATCTGAGCCGCATTTCTGCAGGAGATGGACTCTCTTTGATGGGTTTTAGGAAGTGATGTAATTCCGTCTGGGCCTGTCAAGCGAGCAACGATTGCAAAAGAAAGAAGAAGAAAGAAAAAAAAAAAGAAGTTGCTCTTCCAGCACTAACTCGGCTGAAGCACCTTTAGGCTGTAGGTGAGCGAGATCCTCCACTCTTCTGCTTTTTGGGCTCCCGACTTTGCTACCATCTCCCTCCATCAACATGCAGTGTCACGGGATGAACATCACACAAATAGAAATCTGACACAAAAAGTCACTTATGTGTGTTAGCAGGAAGGTTTTAGGTTGCTTTCCAGGGTAGTTGAGCAAGCAGATTTCAGTAGTGCCTCCCCCCGGCCTTGGTTTCCAAGCTGTCGTCCTCGCCCCAGCGTGGTGGGACACTGCATGCATTTGTGATCCCAAAAGCTGACCCCGCCAAGCGAGGGTCTCTCCAGCAAACGGGAAGAGTGGCTGCTTCACTCAGCAGCCTGTAACTGAGTATTTTGGGCTGGTTTGAGCTGGGAAGAGGAAAAGGCAGTAAACCACATCTTTTTTTGTTAGGAGCAGGTGGCTTAGCTGGAAAGTACTTAGACATCAGCGTGACGATGGCTGCAGATGACAGGGGTCGGAAGGTCTTGAGCCTCACCAGGATACACTGCTTAGCATGGAGGTCCGTGGTGCCATGGTTGATGGAGGTGGCAAGGGGACAGGTAACTCCTGCCTCCCTTCCTCCTTCCTTCTGACTTTCGCTCTCCCCTGGTGGTCTCTGGCTGGGGGTGCAGACTGTGGGACACGGCTGTGCCCCCCGTCCCCGCTGCCGTGTCCTCTTCACCCACTGCCCCAACCTCGTGCCCACCTCACTCAGAAACACATGAGGGTTCACCAGGAGCTTCTACCTATCGCCTGTCACTGGATAAGAGCAATGGAGGAGCTCAAAGTTAAAACCAGTATTTTCAATCTTCTGGCTATATGGGTTGGGCGTAGCCAGGGCTCAGAATTTTGACCTGGCTCTAAACCATACCTGTCCCCAAGCAGGGAGGGTGGTTGGATCATGGGTTTGGTTTGTTCCGCTGTACAAATATGTACTACATCTGAAATGTATCCCTCTGAGTCCAGGAGAGTCTGCACCCCAGATTTTACTCTGGAGCATCCCAAGTTTGAGCCATTTTAAATACGTGTATAAATTTTTCCAGTAATAAACTGCGAAGAAGGGATGTATGCTGCCTGTGTAGCAGCATCACAGTACTCCCTCTAGACATTAGTCACTGTCAAAAACTGATTTCTGATGAATTAGTTGAAGCTGGCAACGGTGAATCTTTCTGTTCAGATCAGTGGGAGCTGCTGAAGTGACCAATTGTTGCTCTCCTTCTGCAGCACACTTATGCACACACATTTCACTTAACACACTGATGCTTTTATAGGTCATCAGTTATAGTTTCTTAGCTTCAGTAGCTGAGAAATAGGTCAGTGATTCATTTAATGGCCAGCTTGTTAATAGATTTAAAACAGTTGAATGATTTGGTTAACTAAAAATCTGAACTGGTTGCTTAGTATTGCAATGTATGTTTAAGAACTTCATAAAACAGTGGGGAAAAATAGCAAAGCAAAGTTACAACAATGCAGCTACAGATAGAAGATAAAGAGGTGCTCTGAGTTATGAAACCACTGACTGACTAATTAAATATTTCTAGGAGATATTCTTTAATACGACGTCATAGCCATACATGATAATACTTACCAGACAGAAGTGTTAGAGGTGAGACTTGTGATTGCTTTTAAGATTTTCCCGTTAAGGAATTACAGAAGTTCCAAATATTAGTAATACTGTTTAATTGATATAGACACTTTCAATTATGAAAGTACAGAAATGGAGGCTACCCAGGCATCTCCTATATGCTCAGAGGTGCCGTGGCTTTGTCTAGTCTGGCAATGGGAAAACCGATAATCAGCCATTGGGGCAGCACGGGAAAGGACTGTCTGTGTTTTGATGAGCATAGACTCAGGTCCTAAGGCTGTTACTATTGTCCAGCCTCAGCTTTTCTGTAGCTTTAGTCAATAGTAGGCAAAGTCATGCTTTTTAACTGTATTTTTATCTGTCATTGATTTAATGCATAAAGGATGTGTCATCCTCCTTGCCATTTCTTCCCCATCTTCTTCCCGGGTTTGCCGCTCTCAGTCTTTCCAATACCACATGGGCTACAAACAGTTTCTCTTGGTTTGTCCTGCCCTGTGTTTTTGGCTGTTTTGACCCATTCTGTAGACTTAGCCCAACTCACTCATCCCTTACTAAAACATAAACCCAGATAAAAAGACTGGAAGGGAAAAGAGGAAAGGACTTGTTATTTTTGCTTTGCATCTTTGCTGCATTTTATCTCCTCTCTCTAATGTACAAGACTGTATCCTTTCCTCTTTTCCCTTCCAGTCTGTCTCTATAGGCAGTAGCATTTCCCACTCGGATTCCCATCAACTACTTTTGACACACGTTTGGCTAACAACTCGTTGCTGCCCCTTGCGACCAAGACAGCTACCCACCGGTGTGTACCCATTAATGATTTCTAAGGCAAATTAAGGAAACGTGACTTCGTGCCACATCCGATTTTAATTAAGACTTTAGAGTGATACAAAGGCAGCTTGATGCGCATTTGACTATTTTATTTTTAAAAAAGAATTGTAGAGAAAGAGGAACGAGGTATTTTGGATGTTGATGAATCGGACTGTCACAGAAGGGCAGCTACCTCAGTCCATCCCCACCAGCGCCATGATCATGCTCCCCTGAAGCACCCCCAGTGGGCTCCCTTTTGGCTGTGTGGGAAGTCAGGTTAGTACCTTCGCTTCAGCCACCATCTTCAGCCACATGCTTCTCTCTCCACAGTACAAATATGGAAACCAAAAGCTATAGTGACAACCTTGCCGCAAAACAAACGCGTGCTTTTGGAAACGCAGGTGGCTTCAGTCACAGATGATTTTTGTAAGAGGGGTGGATTGTATTTGATAATTTCATAGGCCTTAGTGTATTCATGAGGATCCATAATGCACCTTAGCAAAAGGAAATGTCTTTTCACAGATGAGACAACTAAGGTTCCTGGGTGTTTTCAGCGTATGTTACCCAACTGGAAACATCTGTGCATGCTTTCAGTACTGTTTCTTTGATTTTTATGTTATAAAGGGCATTTCTGACTGCCTAGCTGGCTGTTTGCTAACGTTGTTCCCTAATCAGAGAAAGGTTTGCATCACTGAGATTACAGGATGTCATCAGCATGACATTTTCAGAAAAACAGAAATGTTTTGTAACGCT